ATCAGATTCTAGATGTCAGTGTGGATGGTTGCATACGCCTTCACTTATGAAAGTAAATTTGTTGGTCTAAACCATGGGTTCTCAACCACTCTACTTCTATAGACTTTTTTTTTTTTATGGTTTTCCAACACAAATTTTAGACTTCTCCAGAGAATAATCACCCCCTCATAGCATTCTGTTTCTCAGAAAGTTTTTTCCAGCCTGCTTAAACACTATATCATCTTTCTGAGGTGCTTCACTAAGATATATTTTCCATTATCTAGTTTGAAACTTCTGGAGCAGATTACCTTTCTGATTCTGCTGCTTTTGGCAATTGTCCCATTTCCCTATAAGACAGGCTGGCTCCAAGAAGTATTATTCAGAGTTTATTAGAAGTGAATAGTAATTCTCTGGACTTTTCACCAGTGTCCTAAAGGTTCAGATGGCAAAACAACTGACAGTTTTGGTTGACTACTACTGCCAACCTCTTGCACATTCAAAAAGTAATGAAGTAACCCCATAAAATAATGAAATTTGTTTTTAAAAATAAAGCATGCACACATTTTAGATTCTTCATTTTGTCTGGTTTTTTTGGTCTTTAGGTTGAGTGCAGACAGTCATACTTGCACTCCATAAACACACAGGTTAAAAACTTGTTTTTTTTTCCTTTTTTACCTCTTTTTATGAAATGTAACCTGACATTTTAGCATAATCATGTAATTCCAGGACTGCGGTTTAGGGGAAAACACCAGCAATCACAAGAGCCATAATTAAATTGCAGGAGAAGGCAACACCAGTCCTGCTACTCAGCAGATACTCTCAGACTTTTATTTCTATTTTATTGTTTTTGGAGATGGTGTTTTTTTGCAGTGCCATTTCTGCAAATACCCTTGAAAATTAACTTTCCTTTGCCCAACTTTGTGCAATTTATTATTTAAAAATGTTCATAGTCTTTATCATGCAAGTTGCTGCTTCCCAAAACGGTTATGTACAAAATTAGGATCCCTTTGAAGTTACTGGGAATTGTGCCACCGAATTCAGTAGAAACATATTTGTAGGCATGTTTGGTGGCTTTTTTTAAATAAGCATCAACATCATCAGTCAGGATAGCATGAAATTTAGGTTGGGTTCCAGTACTGAATTTTAGCACCTATCTAATGTAAAATAGGGATATTTTCCCTGATTACTTTCCTTGAATGTTGTTAGTTCCCTTGGGAAGCATTAATTGGTACTAAGGGGGTTTTTGGATGTGGAAATGAGGGGGTAACCTTACTTATTCAAATAACTGCACAGTAGATGCATCCCATTAATTGGCAATGAACTATGGTGGACTACAATCCTTTACTGACAGAAGTTATTAAAATGTACCATGAATTCACCTGCTATCCTTGAACAATTTAACTGAAACCCCCAGCATCCCAGCATGCTTTTCAGCCCTGGGCTGTGCTGTGCTGTGTTGTGCGGTGGTGTCTGCTCCAAAGAGCAGGGCTGGGCTGGCTCTGCTCTGTCGCTAGGGTGGGGACTTATTTCCCTCCCCGCACTGGGGGACCGCAGCTGGGGTCTGCCTGGCTGGAGTATAGCAGCCTCTGTTGGGCATGCTCCCCTTTACTGCTTGAGCCGTGGCAGGGGGCATGGTCAGCCCCCACCATCCACAGCCTGAAGCAAACGGGGATGGGGAGGGGGATTTAATCTCCCCCTTCGTCTCCTAACCCACCAGCAGCCAGGGTCTGCCTGGCCAGGACGGAGCAACCCCACTCCAGCAGCAGGGGTGGGAGCATGGCCAGCATTGGCTGGCATGGCCTTGCCATCCACCTGCCTCGCTCATGGCTGGGGCTGGGCCTGTGGGGTTGGGCCAGGCCAGCCTGTGGGTGCTGCTGAGGGTAGACAGAGGTGCCAGCCCAGACTGGGCTGCGGGGGCTAGGCTCTTCCCAACAGGGGATGTGCAGCCAGATTGCTCCTTGCACCCAGGCCAGGCAAGGCTGCCATGGAGCTGCAGGCATCTGAGAAGTGGCCAGCCTAAGCAGGGTTGTGGGGGCAGGGCCCTTCCCAGCTGGCTGCAGCTCTGTGACAGCTGGCGGCACAACTCCAGCCCGGCACCCACCCACCACAGCCCCTTGCCCTGTGCAGTACCCGGTGGCTGCAGCCACACTACAAGCTGCATGCTGGCCTCACTGGCAGGACTGTTCTGCCTCTTTTGCCTCCAGCTGCCACCCCTGCCCCTGCCCTTGCCATGCCATTCTGGGTGGGTAGTTGGGAGCTTGAGCCCATCAGCTTCTGCCCAGTGTTTGGAGCTCTGGCTCCAGCTCCTGGACACCTTCCACCTACTCTGCCTAACCAGTGCAAAGAGCAGCCCCTGCAGGTGGGCAAAGCGGGTGGAAGACATTCAGGAGTGGGAGCTGGATCTCCATGTGCTGGACACAAGCTGCTCAGCTCAAGCTTCCACCCATGCGGTGCGGCAGGAGCAGAAACTGCAGCTAAAGGTGAGGGTAGCAGAACAGTCCTGCGAGCACCAGCCGGCATGCAGCTTCCCCTTGCCTCCAGTGACTCCTCCTCCCACTCCGGCCCCTGCTGCACCACTCCAGGCAGCAGAGGGGACAGGAGGAGGGAAAGCTTGAGCCCAGCGGCTTCCGCCCAGGGCATGGAACTCTGGAGTCACTGCAGGCATTTCTGGAATCAAAAGTAAATGTCTATTCACTTGCAAATCGATTCAATCTACTCAGGTTAGACTAACCTGCAAAGACTGATTCAATTCAGACTCAGGCTTTTTGAATGTCTGTCCCTAGCCTTGGAGAAGCGGCATGGTAGCTAATGAGAAATGAAGCAAGCTGTGCATTTTCATAGACCTAAGCAATTTAAACAGAACACTAAGCAGAGCTCACTACCAAATGTCTATAATGGAAGAAATGTTTTCTGATTTGGCACCATCAAAAATAAACTTGATATTTGCTGCCAAAGACATAGATTGGCAGGTGCTTCAGGACAGCAGGTAGATACAGATGGCTGAGAATACCTTTTTGGCTCTAATATTAGTGCCGCTTTGCTAACAAATTTTGCAATCATGGTTGATGACATTCTTTGGTACAGCCTCTGAGATGGCATGGTGAAAGCTGTGGTAAACCAAAATTACAACTTTATCTATCTAGTACAAACAGCCAGGGAATAAATTCAGAATTAAAGATGAAATTATGATTTATTGCCATACGGTACAGAAGACGTGCAGGGCGTAGGTCATGAAAGATGTAGGTCTTTCAAGTATTACAACCTGAATCCTTCAAATTTAAGTGATGCAGCAGTTGCCCATAGAGAAAAACAAAGAGAAAAACAATCAGTGTAGAAACAAAATAGAGTTCGTAATGCTTTGACATTTCTTCCATGCTTCTGCCAACAAATTCCTCAAGTGACTAATGGGAAAAGATGCAGCAGCAATGTAGTTTAATTCTGTGATCCAGGCATTATGCACACCAGGGAGCTGGTGACCAACAATGTAGTCTTAAAATCCTATGGTATGAGCAAATAGTTGACCAGAGGATGTAATTTCAGTGCCTGCATTAACTGTCCTCTTACTTCATGTTTAGGCAAGTGGTTTGAACTTGTTCTCCTTCCCTTTTCCCACCCTTTTCTCCATTCGTGACTTTTAACCTGAATTTAAAACTACAGCAACCTAAATAGTGAAATGCATAACTAATACAGTTTAATTAATTATTTTCTGTTTTTGCTTGTTTGTATAGTATAGCCTGATTAGATACTGAATCATCCAAGGCAGGAACTGTCTCCTCTCTCTGTCTCTCTCTCTCTGGGTAGAAAGAGACATCAGCAAATTGAAGCAGATCAGCTGTGGTGGGCTATGTCCCACCACAACTGATCCACTTCATTAGGCAAGTTGCATGTTGCCTCTTGTCCTGCATCAGGCATCAGCTGCAATAAAGCAGCACAATTTATTACTACCTTTTGTCACACCACTGGTCTATTTGCTCAGCATTTGTTCTGCCATAAAAATGGTTATGGTTGGCACATATATGATGTTAGGTGATGCCTCTTTCTACTCTGGATAATGGCCAACACAAGGGGGCTTAATCCTAATTGGATCCTCTGCATGCCACCTCATTAATTTTTTTGTTGTTGCTTTTGTTGCTACTACAATTATCTATAATATAGTAACTTTCCCACTTTAACAGACTGTTGTGCACATGAGGTAAGATGGATAGTTACAATTGGAATTGAGAATTGCTACCACAGAAAGCAGCTCTAGTGAAATGTATATAAAGCTTTCTTTATCTTCAGAATCTCTCTCTCATCAGATTATTTGCATGGCATTATAAGCATAAGCATGGAATATTAATTCTTATGCCTCTGTGTCCTTGATGCATAAGCACTCAGGATGCATTCCTCACAGAAAGAGCTAAAATGCCATGTAGTAAGCATGCCCAAGAGGTTCTCTAAGGCTGCACTGTGGTTTAAAGCACGCTTTGTTTTGTATGCCAGTTAATGCACTGCGGTTCCTTTGTATCACTGAACTCTATTATACAAAGAGAGGGTAGACTTATTTGAGAGACTGAAGAGAAATGGGGATAGCTGGTTCTGCAAGAGTTGCTTGTGTGCCAGTTTTCACTACTCATTCTGGAAACAGGACTGTCCATCAGGTAAATGGACAGACTGCTGTTCCAAACTGAAAGCTGACCTGCAAAGCCAGGCATTCTACTACCACCCAGTAAAAATTTTTGCATTGCATTGTGGTGTTAAACCAAATCAGGATTCAAACAGATACAAAGACAGTCCCTACACCTCAGGTCCTAATCCTGTAAACATGTGAACAGCGTTCTACACACAAGAACCCAATAGGGCTACTCATCTCTCTAACTTTCTACAAAATCAGGGCAGGATTTTGATGCAGTTGCTCAAGAGAGAATGTTGCATACAGTCAGTCTGAGAATCAAAAAGACCATCAAGAAAAGAAGTGCAAATGGAATATATGTAAACAAATACACCTGTATATGTCTCTGCTTTTTCTTTGTTCTCTTTAGCATTAAGCAGCTTGACAGATATGGTCAGCTAATCCTTGTGAATTCCACTGCAGCTGACACTGGTGAATATAGCTGCTGGCTTCAGCTGTGTCATGGAGATAACTGCAAAAAGGATGAGTCTAAAACAGGATCAACTTACATCTTTTTCACAGGTAATGGGATCACTGGGGTTATAAACTTAAATGTTTGGATTATCTGGCTAAAAGGCAAAGAGTAGCAAATCCATTTCCATTTTTCGCCATCTGCATCCATTTCCTTTTTCTCTAGCTGTATTAATCATTGCCCCTTGTATGTACCAAGGGAGACATTATTGGTGGAGTAAGCAGGAAATTAACCAAATAATTAATAACATGATTTATGAGCCTACTTCTCTTTGACTTACTTTAAATGTATATTCTAAAGGATATTGCAGGCAATGGACAGTAAATAGTTTTGAAAATTCTAAGCAAGAGAATTTAATTTTAATCTTAAATGGAATCATGAAACGGTGTTATAGTCTGTCCCTCTTATTTTACTTTTGTATATAATTTTGAAAAAATGAACACGTTGAGGAAAACACAGATCTTGTCAAGGCTTATTTTCACTGAACTACCTATATTAAATTTGAAAAGTACAGTCCAATTCCCTTTGAGTTCAGTGGGACCAAGATTTCATTCAGGCTGTTTTGCAATCCTATATGTTAAACTTAGGCAACTTATATTAAATTTATACATTATTCTGCAAAGCTTGAGGGTCCAGCACTAATCTTTTATATTAATAATTTGGATGCAAATCACAAAGCAGTCTAGCATTGATTGGTCAGTATGCTGTTGGTGGTTAAATATGTAGGTAATTTGTTCTTCTAATGGGAAACTTTGCTGCCTGATAGAGCTTAAGCAGCCATGTCTGGCAAATGTTTTAGTGTTGCAGTATAAGATGACTAATAAAGGTTGTTTGAGATAAGCTTCAGAAGTTGGAGCCAGGAAATTGTTTCAAGGCTGTTTTTGATAAATGCCTTCTACATAATCATTTTCCTTTCTCTTTCAGGGTTTGAAAGAATCAGATAAGCCATATACCAAATAAATGTGCATGTTCAGAATAAGGGCTTAAGAACTGTGCTTGTAAACCATATGTTAACATATTGGGGTAGTGCTTATGATGATTGAAAAGCAATATAAAGTTTGAATTATTCAAAGTTTGAAATCATTACAGTTAATTACTTTGCAGTCTCTATATAGGTATATCTCTGTATCTATAGCTATATCTACTACGGGTGTGCAAAACGGGCCATATTCAATTCAGATTTGGCCCGAACTGGGGACAGTGATTTGATTCATTGATTCGGATCACTGTCCCCGATTCAATTCAGCCGAATCCGAGTATGAAGATTCGATGCTGATTCGGTCATAGACACAACTTTAAATGTTTGTTCTACGTACCTTGAGGTACCAGGTGCGGCTTGTGATGAACACTGTGATGGTGGGCGGATGGAGCGTCCCCTAGGAGGGGGGGGG